TCTCGGCCGCCGGAGCCCGGCTACATTCGCCAGGCGTGGGCGGAGGCAGCCAATCGCGGGGCTCGCCCGGGCGCCCTCATCTGCATCGGAGGGGAGGAGCGAGCCCGTCGACGTCACTGCGGGGGGGGAGGAGGAGGAGGCCGGCGCTCCCCGGAGGCCACGCCCCTGCCCGGCCCCGATTGGCTGAGGCGCGCCGTCCCCAACCTGCGCCCGAGCTGCGCGGAGGGGCTTTCTGCACGCGCCTAGGGGCGCTCTTGCTCTTTGGCCCAACACGCCGCTGCCGCCCCAACCCCGGCCGCCTTGCCTTGCCTTGCCTACCCCAAGGCCCTTCACTACCCGAAGGACTAGTCCCAGAGCGGCTCGCGATCTCCTTCCCCTCCCCACCACAGATACCCCCTGTGAGGTAGGCGGGGCCGAGAGAGCTCTCTCGAGGACTGCGCCGGAGAGAACCGCTCCGAGAGAACTTGTCACTGACCCAAGGACACACCAGCAGCAGCTGCACGTGGAGGAGGAGGAGGAGCGGGGACTCCAACCCGGCTCTTTCTTTTTAAGCCCCTTTTTAACAAAACCCCGGCACCCCGGGAAACCACCACCCCGGCCGGTCCGTTGGCGTGCAAGGCAGAGGGGACGGCTGCCCTCGGCTCTGGCCCTGGAGGCGCGGCTCCTTCCTGGCCGAGGCGGCGTCAGGAGGGCTCGTGACCGGAGGGGGGGGGGGGTGTGCAGGAGGAGCAGCCTTTTGCGGGGGCCAAGGCCGCGCGCCCCGCTTCTGGCACCCCCCCTCCCCTCCCCTCCCCTGCTGGCGCTCTGCGGTGCGCGCGGCCTTGGGCCCCGGCCGGGGAAGGGGCATTGCAGGAGAGAGGCCAGCCGGCCACCGAGCGAAGCCAGGGCACCTCCGGCGCAGCAGTGCTGCAGCAGCCGAGGGAGGGCGCCACCCCAGGGGTGAGTGGCCTGGCAAACGGGAGGGGGCAACGGGGCAAGGATGCCCCCTCGGGGTCCTGGCTAGAGATGTGAAGGCCTGGGGAAAAATTGGCAAGTCCTAGGCTACCAACTGAACTCTCCAATGCAAGAACAAGATGCATTTCTTCTTTTAGGAGGTGCTAGTGTCACAAGAAAAGGAAAAAAGGTTTCAAGTTTTGTTTTTTCATGCGGGTGGGTATTCGGTTTGTAATAATTGTTTGGATACACTATATTTTTAATATGCTCCTTGTGATAATTTCATGCCAAGTAAAAATGTCCATGGTCATATTTTATGTTCCTAAAGTAACAGAATGACTTTCAATCTGGAAAAGAAAAAAGAAGTGCTAATGTAGCGGTTTTTTTCGATTTTTCTGAAAATTTCCGTTTTTTTCCAGGGAAATAACCGGGTTTTTTTCCGACCTTCAAAATTTCCAGAAATTTTACATCTCTAGTCCTGGCAACAGAGAAGGGCGCCCTCAGGTGGGGACAGGCCCGACACAGAGCTCCTGAGCATCAAGCTGTCAGCCAGCCACGCCTGCCGGGGGGGGGGGGTAACGGGGTGGTGGTGGTCGGCATAGAATCCTTTGGCACCAGGGGGTAGAGGGCCATGGCCAAGACACACACAGGGGTGGGCTCCTCCTCAGGCCAGCAGAAGGTGGGGGAAGGGAGCAGTCAGAGAGACTGAAGCCCAAAGACAGACCTGCCTGGCACCCCCAGCTCCTCTGCCCCCAAGCCAATAGCCCAGCCCAGAGTGACGTTCTGACCTGACCGGCTTCTTTCCTCCCTTGGGTTGCGACCAGTGCCTGGCGCATGGGGGAGCGTCCCTCAAACTTCTCCCTCACGCCCACACCCCTAGCCAGGCTTTTGTGGCAGTTTTCCCCTCCTGGTGGGGCTGAAGTCCTCAGTGCAGAAATAAGAGCCACGTAGCCAACAGAAAGCTCTCTACCAGGAGAGATCTCTAAATGACAAGCTGTCAGCTGCTTTAGATGGCTGTTCTCAGCGGCTGCAAGTTAATCCCTTCTGCCAGCCTAAGCAACAATTCTGATAGCAAGCCGGCAGGAGGGGGTGAGGACTTCTGCGGTCAAGAAAGCTCACAACTAGGAGGCAGAAAAACTCTCTGAAAGGAGACCAGTTTCTTGACACAGTTAGAAGGGTCCCTGGAGGTCACCTACTCCAACCCCCTAACTCAATGCAGGAATTAGTCAACTGCAGCACCCCACTCTGCTTAAAGGAGCACAGGCCTTTAAAAAACGTTTGGAAAAAAGCATTTACAGGAGAAATTCTTGTGGGGTTGTGCCTTTTAAGAAAGGGGGTGGAGCCCTCCAAAAGCCCCACAGCAGCTACAGGCCTGATTGTCCCTTCTTGCCGGGCGTTCTGTTAACAACAGTGACAGCCCTGGATTCCATTTTGCAGCCCCCAAATCTTGCTGTGTGTCCCCTCTCCCATCAGGACTCAGGCTGGAGGCAAAGCTCAGAGACCCAGGCCCAGATCGAGCCCGCTTTGGACTGCAGGAGGAGGGAGATACGCCGGGAGGAGGGAGTCCCCAGGGGACCAGGCGAGGGTTAAGGTGAAGAAGTCGACACAGCAATGCTTGAGCCACAGAAAACAGGCGATCTTTAATACTCCCACTGCCTGGTACACAAGCCAAGTATGTAAGCCTGGGAGGGCGG